AATCCACAAGAAAACTACTGGAACTAATAGAAGATTTCAGCAACGTTTCAGGATACAAGATAAACATACAAAAATCAGTTGGATTCCTTTACACCAACAAAGAGAACCTCAAAGAGGAAATCAACAAATCAATACCATTTACAATAGCCCCCAAGAAGATAAAATACTTAGGAATAAATCTAACCAGATAAAAGATCTATACAATAAAAACTACAAGACCCTACTGCAAGAAACCAAAAGAGACCAGCGTAAGTGGAAAAACATACCTTGCTCATGGATAGGTAGAGTCAACATGATGAAAATGTCAATACTACCCAAGGCGATCTACATATACAATGCAATCCCGATCCAAATTCCACCAGCATTTTTTAATGAGATGGAGAAACAAATCACCAACTTCATATGGAAAGGAAGGGGCCCCAAATAAGTAAAGCATTATTCAAGAAGAAGAACAAAGTGGGTGGCCTCACACTACCTGATTTTAGAAGCTGTTATACTACCACAGTAGACAGAACAGCCTGGTACTGGTATAACAACAGATACATAGACCAATGGAACTGAATTGAGAATCCAGACATAAATTCATCCACCTATGAGCAGCTGATATTTCACAAAGGCCCAAAGTCCGTTAATTGGGAAAAAGACAGTCTCTTTCATGAATGGTGCTGGCACAACTAGATATCCATCTGCAGAAAACTGAAACAAAACCCATACCTCACACCTTGCACAAAAACTAACTCCAAATGGATCAAAGACTTAAATATAAAATAAAAAAGGATAAAGATCATGGAAGAAAAAATAGAGACAATGCTAGGAGCCCTAATACATGGCATAAACACAATACGAGCCATAAGTAACAATGCACAAGCACCAGAAGAGAGACTAGATAAATGGGAGCCCCTAAAAATCAAATACTTAGGCTCATCAAAAGAAGAGTCAAAAGACGACGTACAGACTGGGAAAAAAATTTTGCTACAACAAATCCGATCAGCATCTAATCTCTATAATCTACAAGATACGTCAAAACCTCAACAACAACAAGACAAATAACCCAATTAAAAAATGGGCAAAGGATATGAACAGGCACTTCACCAAAGAAGATATTCAGGTGGCTAACAGACACATGAAGAAATGCTCAGGATCATTAGCCATTAGAGAAATGCAGATCAAAACTTCAATGAAATATCATCTCACCCCAAAAAGGCTAGCATTAATCCAAAAAACACAAAATAATAAATGCTGGAGAGGTTGTGGAGAGACTGGAACACTTATACACTGCTGGTGGGAATGGAAAATGGAAAACGATTCGGCGCTTCCTTAAAAAGCTAGAAATAGCAGTACCATACGATCCAGCTATCCCACTCCTTGGAATATATCCTAGAGAAATAAGAGCCATCACACAAATAGATATATCACACCCATGTTCATTGCAGCACTGTTCATGATAGCAAAAAATGGAAACAACCTAGGTGCCCATCAATGGACGAATAGATAAATTATGGTATAGCCACACAATGGAATACTATGCAATGATAAAAATAATGACAAAGCCATGAAACATCTTATAACATGGAGGAAGCTGGAGACCATTATGCTGAGTGAATTTAGTCAGTCACAGAAGGACAAATACTGTATAAGGCCACTTATTATAAGAACTCAAGAAAAGGTTTAAACACAGAAGAAAACTTTGATGGTTACGAGGGTGGGGAGGGAGGGGGAGGGTTATTTACTAACTAGATAGTAGATAAGAATTATCTTAGGTGAAGGGAAGGACAGCACACACTACAGGGGATGTCAGCCCAACTGGATTAAACCAAAGCTAAGAAGTTTCCTGAATACAGTCAAATACTTTGAGGGACAGAGTAGCAGGGGTTGGGGTCTGGGGACCATTCTTTCAGGGGACATCTTGGTCAGTTGACATAACAAAGCTTATTAAGAAAATGTTCTGCATCCTACTTTGATGAGTGGCGTGTGGGGTCTTAAAAACTTGCAAGCGGCCATCTAAGATGCATCAATTGGTCGCAACCACCTGGAGTAAAGGAGAATGAAGAACACCAAAGACACAAGGAAAGTATTAGCCCAAGAGACAGA